TCGGATAGTGCCGGCCCTGCAAAGACCGGCAGGAGAGATCCTGTGATCTCCCTGCCGGCCTCGGCCCATGGCCACCGCGGCCCACCGGGCATTTGCCCGGTGTGCCCAATGGCCAGTCCGGGCCTGACCATATTAAATATTATAAGTCAATTTTATTGTACAATGCTGTTAAGAAACAGGTCACTAAAACTCTTTGTCTTGGCCCTGTATATACAATATCTCACAAAAGTGAGTACACCCCTCAAAGTTTTGTAAATATTTTATTATATCTTTTCATGTGACAACACTGAAGAAATGACACTCTGCTATGTAAAGTAGTAAGTGTACAGCCTGTATAACAGTGTGAACTTGCTGTCCCCTCAAAATAACTCAACACACAGCCACTAATGTCTAAACCGTTGGCGACAAAAGTGAGTACACCCCTAAGTCGAACTTTTTAAATTGGGCCCAGTTAGCCATTTTCCCTCCCTGGTGTCATGTGACTTGTTAGTGTTACAATAGTGTTACAAACTGCCATTTGTAACTGTTATTTTATTTGACAAATTGCCCTGCTTCCCTGTGTTATGGAGAAGCCTAATTGCCAGCCTTCTGCCCCATGACTATGGACCTAGTGTGTATGGCGATTTGACTGTATTTGTGGGATCTGAGCGCTGTTTGGATATATTGAGCGCTCAGATCCAAGCCATCTGGGGATAGGTTGAATGTGGGGGTTCTGTTCAGTATGATAGGAGTTATGCATTTTTGTGTCTTTTTGTGTCTTTTGCTGACATGTGGTTAATGGAGTCTGCCTCTATCCCTGGATAATTGGATTACTTTCCCCATTGTCCAGGATAGAGGGCTCTGTAAAACCGGTTTGGGCCAGAAAACCATGCTGCCAGCTAGGCCCCAAAAGATACTTTTGCTAACTTTTGAACCCCTTGTCTGATTTATGCCAGTTTTTAATATGTTGCTCCCCTGAATGGATTGATTCTAAATATGTAATTTTTATGAAGATTGGATGTGTAGTTTGGAAGTTATAGTACATGTATAAAAACTGTATTTTAACTGTTCTGTTTTAATTATGTTATGTGTTTATCCGAGGGATGGGAATTTCCCCGAATGTATATTGTTCCGATTGGTTATACTGCTAATTATGTGGGTGTCTCCCTTGCATGGGCAGAATCTCATAGAAGCAGAGTGTGTGCCATTAAACATCAGATCTTCTTGACCCTCTAACTTGCAGCCTTGACTCATGTTTGTAGGGGACAGCTATAATCACTACAGGGATTGCTATGCTCTTCATACTCCCTTAGCTACTGAGCTCTTGTAAGAGCTTTTGTTCCTGATCCTGCTTCGCTCTGCAGAAGGAAGAGGTTCACCTACTGCAACCTGGAGCCTGGTCGTGGGTCCAGGGCACAGAGCAGACGGCGAGATACCAGCCCAGCAGCGGTGGTTCGTGGAGTCTGCAGTACTTCTGGTGGCTACACAGTAGTTATGGTGTCTACGGTGCTGATGGTCCTTTGGTGAGCGCTAGGAGCATTCTTTCTACGGTCCAACTTTCAGCCAGCCTGGAGGCAACCGTAACAAATAGTACATGTATACTATTGTAATATCCCCTCTGAGTAACTGCAAATTCCCAGATTTTACTATTTACATGACGTAAAGTCATGATTTTATTAATGACACAGAGGCGAGTATTATGCCATCTCTTTCTTACTTTATTCCTCGGCAGCAAAGAGAAAATATAACTGAAAGAGAAAAAATGTATAATATGAATATTATATAACAGATACAACCAAATCTGCCTAGTAACAGGGCAGCCAATCAGCTTATAGGAACAGTCCATAAATGTCTTGCTGTGTACTTCCACTTCCTCTTCTTTGCCTTCTGAACGGAAGACCCAACAACCGAAGAAAAATCCACATCAGGAACGAACCAATCGCCAACATGGTAAACGTCATCACAACAAAATCAGGCTGTAAAAACAGAGAAATAGGTGGTAAAATCCAAACTCCGGATCTGTATGTAACATATCATAACAATTCAGTATGTATAACAATATATATAAAATATTGATTATACCATATATACCTGTAAAAAGACCATACTGTATCCCAGAACAACAAGTGAAACCATGGACACTTACCGTGAGATAAAAGGTCCTCCCGATTGAACCAAAATTGGAGACCCAGCACCTACCCACCGGGTGGGCGGGTGGGAATAATACTCGCCTCCGTGTCATTAATAAAATCATGATTTTACGTCATGTAAATAGTAAAATCTGGGAATTTTATTAATGACATGGAGGATCCTATTATGCTAGTTCAAAGCTGAGCCACAACTAACGAAGAAACATGGTCAATCGGGCGGAAATAGAAATCACGGAACGTAGATTCACTAGACCAATCCGCCGCTTTCAAAATATCATCCAGATGACACCCCATCTTAGAAGCTTTGGATGCCATGGCTCCTCTGACCGAATGAGCTGAAAATATTGATGTATCAATCCCTGCCGCGGAAAGGAGATTTTTAACCCAACAAGCCAACGTAGTCGAGGAGACCGGTAGAAACGGCGTCCTAAAGGAAATAAACAGTTGGGACAAATCCAATGACCTCAACTGTTGAGTGTGATCCAAGTAAACCCGAAGGCAAGCCACTGGACACAGAGCAGGGCCACTGACTTAGAAGCCGTCTTAGTCCTTCTCGAGATGTTAAACGACACTCCCTCAGGGGTGAAGGATATCGCGTTCCAGTCCAAAGCTCTGACATCCGAAACTCTCTTGCATGAAAGGAGACACAGAAGCATAACCAACTTCCAGGACAATTGTTTCAGCGACAGCTCCTCATTAAGGGTTCACGACTCCAGGAAGCAAAGAACTATGTTAACATCCCAAAACGAGGAGTATCTGGATCTCGGGGGTCTAGAGAAATGGATACCCTTCAACAATCGGCACACAAAGGGATGTTGTCCAACCGGCGATCCGTCAATCCCTAGATGTCCGGCCGAAATGGCCAATCTATAAACATTAATAGTGTGGTAGGCCAAATCAGATTCAAAAAGCGTGGTCAGAAAATTGAGCACCTCCTTCAGAGGGGCAGAAAGTGGATCCAACAATCTTCCTACGCACCAGCCAGACCACACGCGCCATGCGGATTTTTAAGCTGTTCTGGTTCCCGGTGCACTCTCTAGGAGTCTTGTAGTAGCTTGCGGATCGTCCGCGACGAACCAGGATCCCCTGAAATCAACCAACCCATGAGCTGGAGCAGGTCCTGATCCACTAATTTGTGCGAGTTCCCATCCGGATCCAGAAGCACATCCGGTCGCGTTGCAATCATCCGTGGGAAATCCATCGTCATCTCCAGGAGACAAGAGAACCAAGGTTGAGTCTGTCATAGGGGAACTACTATCACCAATGTGCAATCTTGTCTGGACAGGTACGCCAGTGTCCGAGAAATCAGTTTGAATGGGGGAAACGCAAAGTGACGACCCGGAGGCCACGTTTGCAGGAAAACATCTACCGCCATGGCCGATGGGTCCGGTCTCCAACTGAAATATTGGGGCAGTTGGGAGTTTAGTCTGGATGTGAAAAAATCCAGTTCCAACTGACCCCATAACCGATCTATCTGTCGAAAGGTCGAAGGTAGCAGATGCCAATCCCTTGGCTCTTTCAAGTAGCGCAAATTCCAATCCGCCCATTCATTGTCCAGTCCCGGGATGTGTTTGGCAGTAACCGACACTGCGTTGTGGAGGCAAAACTGCCAGAAGTCCTTTACCAGGTTCGCTAGCTGTTTTGATTTCGTGCCACCCAGATAATTTATATATCTGACCGCGGACACATTGTCCATGCGCAGAAGAATGCAGCAATTTCCCAGAGTTGGAGACAGGCTGCGAATGGCGAATGACCCCGCCAGCAGTTCCAGACAGTTTATGTGTAGCCTTGACTCGACTTTGCACCATTTGCCACCTGTGGAGACATTTCCACAATGAGTGCCCCAACCATGTAGGCTGGCATCCGATTCTATCACCACGTCCAGAGCGGATGCGAAGATTGCTCAGCCGTTCCACGCCTCCATATGGTCTAACCACCACAGTAGTTCTTCCCTGGAATCCCTGTCCAGACTCGATTCGCTTTCGTACGAACTGCCTGACCGAAGATGGGATCCCTTCAAACGTTGTAGGGGCCGATAGTGTAGGGGTCCTGGAAAAATCGCCTGAATCGATGAGGCCAAAAGACCAATCACTCTCGCCAGTTGTCATACACAGAGAGATTTGGCCCGTAGTGTACGTCTTATTTCTTTTTTTTCATAGCCTTTAATTTGGTCTCTGGAAGGAACAAGAATTGGGCGATCGAGTCGACTTCTAAACCCAGGAATTCTATCTTTTGTACCGGGGTCACTATGGATTTTTCCCAATTTATGAGGAAACCTAAACCTTCCAGGAGATTCACCGTCCAGTCCAGATGTCGTAGGAGCTGGTCGGGGGACGAAGACATAATCAGGATGTCGTCCCAAGTAAATAATCATACGGACCCCCCGAGCCCTGAGGAACGCCACTACTGGCTTCATTACCTCTGTAAGGCACCAGGGAGCGGAAGATATACTGAAGGGCAGACAGGTAAACCTCCACCGACGTCCTTGCCATGTAAAGTGCAATAAGTCCCAGTGCTCCTCTGCCATTGGTATGGTCAAATAGGCATCTTTGAGGTCCAGCTTGACCATCCAGTCCCCTTGACGGAGCAGGTCCCTGAGGCAATGAATGCCTTCCATCTTGAAGTGATGGTAACGGAGAAATTCGTTGAGGCGTTTGAGATGTATGACCGGTCGAACTCCTCCGCCCTTCTTGGCAACGAGGAACAAATTGCTTAGGAACCCTGGGGTCTCGTACAGGATTCCCTGTATTGCCTGTTTGGCATGAAGTTCCGCGATTTCCGCAGTAATCAACCCGGACTGCTCTTCCGGCAATCTCAGTTCCTGTGGTATACACATCTGGAAAGGTGGGGACAAAAGATCTAGGCGGAAACCCCTGACTGTATTCAAAACCCACACATCTGTGGTGATCATGCCCCACATATCGATAAATAAAGCTAGCCTGCCCCCCACGCTTGCATGGGAAAAACCACATTTGGGGGTACCTACCATAAGGACGTCCTCCTCAATTCTGCCACGGTCTTCCGCATGAGGGGAAGAAGGGAGCGGGCTTGTATTCCTGGTAGGCCCAAGGGTCAGCAAAGGAACTTCTGTGAGTCCGTGAGGGACCTCGAGCTCCATGGCTGGGCGGACGGCTCCTATACCTCCCGGCCCCTTGGAAAACCTTTGGGCCAAAAACTTGTTTCAAGTTGGACTGGGCCTTATCTAGTGTGGTTAAGGCGCACAAAGGAGCCTAGGTCCTTAACAAAGGACTCACCGAAGAGCATGCCTTTAGCAGCAGCACCCGGTTCCTTCACTGCTCGGTTTACCAATTTAGGCTCAATCTTGAGCAAGATCGCCTTGCGACGTTCAGCCGACATGGCTGTGTTAGCGTTGCCGAGAAGGCAAATCAGTCTTTGGACCCATCCGATCGCTTCATCGAAATTAAGGGGGATGCCTCCTGCCTTAGCCACCTCCAAGAGTTCATAAGCGGGACCCAGGGTGTCCAAAATTTTGTCCTGGCAATTGTGGAGTGAGAACTCCAGTCCCTTTCTGGGTTTCCAGACAGTTTTTGCCAGGAACTGCGTCATTTGGGGGTCAACCTCTGGCGTCTTGCACACTGCATCAGGCACTGAGGGTCTTGGGCATTCAGCCCGTAATTTTCTGCAACCGTCCATGGACAGAGGAGTGCGCATACGTAGAGCTAGGTAGCTAGCTATGTGTTCGGGCGGGTCCCATTCCGCCGAGCGAGGATGGCGAAGGTCATCAGGATCGAACATGGGGTAACCCTGCGGATCACATATGCCTTGCCCCCCACCCGGAGGTAGCACCGAAGCGTCAGCGTCCCCCTTCCTCATAAGAGGCGTAATCAGGGGCATCCGAGTCCGTCTCCCCACTCAGATCGGAATCTGATCCTTCGTTAACATGGGCACGTGCCCTTTTCTACTTTCTGCCCGATTTTGTCCAGCCAGCGGCTCTCTTGCACAGTAATGCGCCATCTTGGACGGCCATAGGCACTTCAGTCAGGGCAGGTAACACGTGTCACATTGGGAGAGACGTGTTTCATTTTATCATGCGTCTTGCGACTCGCCTGAGGCTGTAGCGCAGGCTGGGGGTTGGGCATCATAGAAGGGGCCAGGGGTTGAGTCAACGCCTGCTGAATAGTATGAGACAGGGACAAAGACACCGTCCCCATGGCCGAGGCCAGGGCCCTCTGCATGGTGGAATCAATGAGGGCCTGGAGCTCCTGAGAGGGAGTAAGGCCAGTCTCCCCAGTGATAGGGGTTTGCATGGGATCCATAATGGGGTAATTGGGGCTGTCAGAGCCCTCACCTCTAGCCTGCAGAATAGGTGCAGGGAGGAGAAACCCAAGTATAAGCAAGAAAATATATTCTATAAATATACCCACAGGGGAAGATGCAGGGGCAAATATAAAGGATCCCAACAGAAATAATTTGCGAAGAAAAAAGGGGCTTAATAGCACTATAACCAAAGAGGGGTTGATTAACCCACTGACAATACCTGAAAATGACTAAAACGGAAAGGGAGAGGTAAAGGGAGCCGACCCGTCTAGCAGTCCGAGCCACGTGAGTGCAGGCAGTGTGGAAAATGGCTGCCGAGTGCAGAGCGCGCCGCGGGCTACCCAGAGCTCCTCCCCCGCCAATGGCCGGGGAGCGTGTGGAATACACATGGCCGGGAACTCCCTCGCACCAGCGGGTGCAGATAACGGGGAGGGAGGGATGACCAGGGAGCAATGAAGCTCCAGGAGGAATCCTCCCCTGGTAGCCACAGATCCCGGCCTGTGCTATCAAATGTACAGCACAGGCAGGGAAACCGGGCACAGGGCACAGGGGAAGAAAAAATCACAAAATACAATGAAATTAAATTCAAACAAACACAAAACCATAAGCATAGACTGAATACAAAACCAATAAATGGAAACAGGGTAAACAACCCTGACAGCAATAATACAGATCAAATATACAGGAGGTAAAAATTATACTTAGCTGGTCTGAGGACAGCAGCAAAGAGAGAGGAAGTGGAAGTACACAGCAAGACATTTATGGACTGTTCCTATAAGCTGATTGGCTGTCCTGTTACTAGGCAGATCTGGTTGTATCTGTTATATATTATTCATATTATACATTTTTTTCTCTTTCAGATATATTTTCTCTTTGCTGCTGAGGAATAAAGTAAGAAAGAGATAGCATAATAGGAGCCTCCGTGTCATTAATAAAATTCAATTTGATGTAGAAATTGTTTTTTTTTTGAAAATGTATTATTGTTTATCCTATTTTGTAAACCGGTTTTAGTAAATGACTGTCCATACCTATAAAGACGCCATAAAACAACATACAATATGAAAGAAATAAAATAGGGAAACAGTTCAAAGGAACAATTATTTGACAAAACTAGTCTTTATGGTATAAAATATTGTAAAGGGGTTAAAGGAAAACATAAAATGTTATTTTGAATAATGTTTGACCCCTTAACTCCGTTACGGCGTTCTATGCTGTCCCGCATTAAATGGGCTTTAAAGCCGATGCAGCGGCATAGAACGCCGTAACGGCATTCAGCCCCAGGAGCTCCGATTTACTCACCTCTACCGCAATCCTCTTCTGGAGGACTGCCTGACAGCCCAGACAGCCCTCCCCCGGCAAATGAGGCGATCACATGGCCCCCTATAGCTGGCTGTGAATCTGCCAGCAGGGGGACTGTCATGTCAGATAGTCCCCCTGCTGGTGGGAAGTAGTAAAAAAAATAAAAATAAAAATTTTAAAATAAATTATATTATATATCTAATATATATACATCTTATATAGTGTTGTCCCGAACGGTTCGCCGAACGGTTCGCCACGAACTCATCATTGAGTAAACTTTGACCCTGTACCTCACAGTCAGCAGACACATTCCAGCCAATCAGCAGCAGACCCTCCCTCCCAGACCCTCCCACCTCCTGGACAGCTCACTAAGAATGCAGCTTCAAAATGGATGATGTCCAGGAGGTGGGAGGGTCTGGGCTATATTTGACCCTTTAACTTTCCAAAACACCGTAAAAACTGTTAATGGGGGCTACTGTTGTACTCGTGAGACTTTGATGAATCCAAATATGCCCCCCAAAAAAAGCAAACAGTATTATGACATGTACAGCTAAAATGTGAGGCGGAACTACAAATTTTGTAAATTATTTTAAATTTCTCAGAGTTTTTTTTAATTTTATTCATAATAAATTATGTTTCATATATAAATATTTGATATGAAATAAAAGCCCTGTTTCTCCTGAACAAAATGATATATAATAAGTGTGGGTGCATATAATATGAAAGAGGTGAATTACGGTTGAACAGACATATAGCGCAAATTCCAGTTTTTGTTTACATTTTGTTTTGATCAGAACGTGCACTATTGACTCCGTCCTGAAGGGGTTAAAATAAATGATTATATGTATTTTAGTCAGTGTGTATAATTTTGTAATACATTGCTATAAATAAGTGTATAATAAGTGTATATTCTCACTTAACCATGTTCTATGGGCCAATCATCTTTAAAAGCTATATTCAGAAGCAAACCTTATCTAGCCATGCAGGTAATGAAGCACTAGGGGCACAGGACATTTTTTAAAAATGCACTCTTGGATGGAAAGAGGTATTAACTCGAAAGTATGCATTACAAAACAGTACATTACTAATCTGGATTTTATCTACTTTATATTCAACAGTAACAAAAAATGATAGCAGTTTTCCTTTAAGCCAGGTAAGCTGTTTTGTATCGGATTTCTGGAGTGTTTATTTTATTTATTGATATTCATTTTATATATTTATTTTTTTATAGAATTAATAACGTGGAATATCGATTGAAATTAATCAATGAGTAATAATCTGACAATGATATTCCTATAATCATTACACACTGGAAATGAAATACAATATATATAGTAAATAACCTTATGACAGTTGTTAAAGTACTGTATATAAGTAGAATATAACATACACCATAACATACTAAATCATTATATAAAATAGGTAACATTTGCTATGGATACTCACTACTAAACCCGGGATAAAATGTAATAGATCTACCCAGATACGTTTTAAGTTTGACATGGTCCTGGTTTTTGTGTACATTGTTAATGAAGTGAGGGGAATTCAAAGACATAAAGCCAAATCAACCATTTTGTAATTTGCTTACTAGCATTATTTTTATAAAGTTTTTACACTTTATATATATAATATTATAGATACAATGGTGGCAATCTTTTAAACTTATTCTGAGTCATTGCCAAATCCTACTATATAGCTTAGGTAATTGTGATATGTTTCCCTTAATTGACCATCATTTAGTCCCGATTGTCTTCAATGGGTCTATAGCACAGAGTTCATCTCATCTGTGAATTATCAACATCTGACTAAGCTAAAGATACTTCACAATGCAGTTTGTTTGAATCTCTCTTGTTTATTGTGACAAGGCCCTCTGCTATAGCAATTGGAACTATTACCGCTTCATCCAATATATCCAATTCTTTTATAGTTTTTCCCCAGTGTAACAAAATTAATCACTGTGATAAAAATATAATAACACAGCTACATTTTAAAATGTAAATAAACAGCAAAAGCTTACCTTAAATTGGATAATTCAGACAGTCCACACTGTGAAATTGACAGAATATGGGTATGCGAAGTTCTGTCCTGTGTGTGAAATATTCCACAATTCATTGATAAAATGTTCCCCTCCTCTTGACCCTGTCTCCTTACTTTCTGTAAGTTTAACCCATTCCACTCACAACACGACCAGCATTCAGAATTGTTCTTTTTTGCGTCCTCGGTATTACTAGAGTTTTGTCCCAGTGATTACCTGCCTGAGGTCATGTGATGTTTTGCCTCTGTGGCGTTAGTTGAAATGTACTATAATCCTGGCTGGATACTTGGGGTTAACACTGTATTTTCACCGTGTTTTTCCTCCAGAGCTATTCAAACCTTGCCATTTATATCTGAAATCTTATAATCTCCTTTCACATGGAATTTGCTCCAGGACTCGCCTCCGCTGGTACCAAAGAACTACAGTCAGCAAATTGTTGACATTGACCCCTTTGTGAGTACAAAAAGGGTCAGAACATTTCATAAGGCAACAGAGAGGTTAAATCCATCCTGTACCAGCATAAGGACTTTTGGTTCCCTGGGTTGATACATTTTGATATTCTTCTCATGTACAACTCTCTTTTAGCTGGCTATATCCACTGGCTTTTCTCCTACATTCAATCATTCTGTGAATCTGTCCACTAGCCAGCTACCCCACCACTGACGCCATCGATCCATTCATTCAGACTGCATGGTTTGTTCACTAAACACTGAATTGTAGTGAATTGAAAACCAATTTGCAACATTTAGAGAAATATAGCTGATCTGGAAACTTCTCTGACACTTCTGCTATCTGACCGATGGGACAGTTCTCCTTTACCCAAATGGCGTTACATTGAAACTCTAAAGCACTTATTACAACATATTAAACCACATAAATTTGCAATAAAATAAAAGGCAAACACGTGACGTAAAAAATAAATAATTTCTGGTATTGGTAAATAGCGTGTATCATTGAAATGAGCAATTCATATATTAAAAATTAACCTTACACAGTATAACTAGGTATATAGCAAATCACAGTTTAAAAGATTGTATACACTGTCACTATCGCATTCAAAGGCCAATGACAGGGTGAAGTACACAGCACAGGGAGAGCTAACTTTACTAGCAAAGTGCAGTTGCTATAGTGACAGAGCATGTATGGCACAGCATATATGTTTGTTTTTTGGCTTTTCCAGCAATGGCCAATCTGCAACTGGTTAGAATCATTGTCAGTAGACGTCATTGGCAGGTAGCTGTTTAAAAATAGAAGCCAGGTTGTGGTAAACAGACGGTTGTTACAGCGTAACTGCAATTCACCAACAAGGTTGAGAATGAGCCTTAAGTACTCTGAGTGGTACCCAGAATATCTGTATGAAGGCCTCGCTCTCACACCCGCAGTGCCTTACAATGTGAAAGGGCCAGGGCTGATGTCACTCATTCATTCTGCCGAAAGCATAGCACTGAACTACAGGGAGTGCAGAATTATTAGGCAAATGAGTATTTTGACCACATCATCCTCTTTATGCACGTTGTCTTACTCCAAGCTGTATAGGCTCGAAAGCCTACTACCAATTAAGCATATTAGGTGATGTGCATCTCTGTAATGAGAAGGGGTGTGGTCTAATGACATCAACACCCTATATCAGGTGTGCATAATTATTAGGCAACTTCCTTTCCTTTGGCAAAATGGGTCAAAAGAAGGACTTGACAGGCTCAGAAAAGTCAAAAATAGTGAGATATCTTGCAGAGGGATGCAGCACTCTTAAAATTGCAAAGCTTCTGAAGCGTGATCATCGAACAATCAAGCGTTTCATTCAAAATAGTCAACAGGGTCGCAAGAAGCGTGTGGAAAAACCAAGGCGCAAAATAACTGCCCATGAACTGAGAAAAGTCAAGGGTGCAGCTGCCACGATGCCACTTGCCACCAGTTTGGCCATATTTCAGAGCTGCAACATCACTGGAGTGCCCAAAAGCACAAGGTGTGCAATACTCAGAGACATGGCCAAGGTAAGAAAGGCTGAAAGACGACCACCACTGAACAAGACACACAAGCTGAAACGCCAAGACTGGGCCAAGAAATATCTCAAGACTGATTTTTCTAAGGTTTTATGGACTGATGAAATGAGAGTGAGTCTTGATGGGCCAGATGGATGGGCCCGTGGCTGGATTGGTAAAGGGCAGAGAGCTCCAGTCCGACTCAGACGCCAGCAAGGTGGAGGTGGAGTACTGGTTTGGGCTGGTATCATCAAAGATGAGCTTGTGGGGCCTTTTCGGGTTGAGGATGGAGTCAAGCTCAACTCCCAGTCCTACTGCCAGTTCCTGGAAGACACCTTCTTCAAGCAGTGGTACAGGAAGAAGTCTGCATCCTTCAAGAAAAACATGATTTTCATGCAGGACAATGCTCCATCACACTCGTCCAAGTACTCCACAGCGTGGCTGGCAAGAAAGGGTATAAAAGAAGAAAATCTAATGACATGGCCTCCTTGTTCACCTGATCTGAACCCCATTGAGAACCTGTGGTCCATCATCAAATGTGAGATTTACAAGGAGGGAAAACAGTACACCTCTCTGAACAGTGTCTGGGAGGCTGTGGTTGCTGCTGCACGCAATGTTGATGGTGAACAGATCAAAACACTGACAGAATCCATGGATGGCAGGCTTTTGAGTGTCCTTGCAAAGAAAGGTGGCTATATTGGTCACTGATTTGTTTTTGTTTTGTTTTTGAATGTCAGAAATGTATATTTGTGAATGTTGAGATGTTATATTGGTTTCACTGGTAATAATAAATAATTGAAATGGGTATATATTTGTTTTTTGTTAAGTTGCCTAATAATTATGCACAGTAATAGTCACCTGCACACACAGATATCCCCCTAACATAGCTAAAACTAAAAACAAACTAAAAACTACTTCCAAAAATATTCACCTTTGATATTAATGAGTTTTTTGGGTTCATTGAGAACATGGTTGTTGTTCAATAATAAAATTAATCCTCAAAAATACAACTTGCCTAATAATTCTGCACTCCCTGTATATAGTAAATAAACTGTACTAATGTCATCTACCAGCTAATGTAAACTATGTGACACGATCTAGGCATAGTAGTTATTTAATGTAACAGTTTAATATAAGAGCAAAATATTGGACAATGCCTATGGCTTACTAACACCATCATCTTAGTCTAGGTAGCAGTCTTTTATTTTATTCAGAATTGGGCATATGTATAATTTATTAATATAAAAACACTATATTGATGCTTTATTAAAATAGTGGTTTGTTTATCAAATTTAATTAGTGAAATTTCAAATCATAGTAGAACATCTTGCATGCGAGAAGACACACATACACATGGTTACTCTCAGACACACACAATAGCATACATTTTGATGCAATTGAAGGAAGTATTCTGCAAAACTCTTGTTCATTTATGTTCACTTAAAATTTTAAATTCCTCTTTTTTTGTTACTTTGCCTTATTGACAAATTACTTTCTGGAATAAAGTGTAAGTGAAATTTTGTAATAGCAGAAATGTAAAATACTTACTGTGTTTCGGTAGTGACTTTGTCCAAGAGTATCAGAAATCAATGTGACATGTCACTGGAGAAGTGCAGAGTGGTACTGGGACAACGTGAGACAGGGATCAATGATTAGGAGAAACCTGGGACATGTTTGGAATGTTACAGTTTCACAACATTGGCAAGAATCTCCATAATTCACTTTCTTCTATAAATCCTCCACCTACCATAACCTCCATGAGCCCTATGTTAGCTTCAACAAGAGAATCTGTGCAGAAGGATTTTTTCCCACAGCAGTGTCCAAGTTGTGCACAAGGGACAAAGAGCTAATGTTCCGTCAGGGAGGTCTAAGAGGTCATAATTAACATTGGAAATAGTTCAATCCAGTAATGATTTTTTCTCTCTACTCGTCTATTCCTTTCCTTTTGTTTGACTTTTATGGGTTTTTTTCTGACCTCCTTCTAGAACATATGAAACCCACAAAGGTTTCAGATTAAGAGCCCAGTGGGCATGGTGCTGACAATTATTAATGGGCGCCATGACGTGTGGGACACGTTGGACGATTACCGATGACGAAAACGGAAGTAAAGAGAACCGGAAACAGTGAGAAAGGGCGCCAAACTTTTGAATTTAAAAGCTGCAATCATGGAGATGAATACAAACCACTTGAGAAAGGCTATTTTGCCGAAACGCGTCGTGGTAACTGCATATGGACAATTTTATTTTATGTTTGATTTAAAAACTTTTGTTTTAATCAATAAATTAGTTTTACTTTGGAATTGTATCCTGGAATAATTATTATATTAACATCCAGAAGAAATTCATCCAAAGGACGTCCAGTCTAAAGGAATATTCATCTCCACTACAAGCTTTTAGTCTGAATCAGCTTTTTAAGTGACTCAGTAACATAGTTGAACTCAAGATCAATCTGGTAATAATTTTAATTGCATGCTTTAGAGTGCTCTCACCGTCTTTTATATTTTTTGTACACTTTATTTGTGTGGTTGAGTGATTCACACTAGGTGATAGTAGCACCACTTTGTACTGTTTTTTCCCAAAATTCTTATATTTATTTGAATTATGATGGGCCTAATTACATAATCTTAAGAGTCATGTATCTGAGGGAAACTCAAAGGATGCAGCTACAAGAAAACACATACTCTATGCTAATCTCTCTCTAATTTATGCTTTCATCTTTCAAGTAAATATTCCAAGTAAATCCCCCTAACAGCAGTGTCCAGTGAAGCAGGAAGTCAATGGGCGGGGTAAAAGGGTGTGCCACTGACGCGAATCACATGACCAGAACTGTCAAAAGGGGCGAACATTCCCAAAAAGAGGGCATGTCTGTCCAAAGAATTGGAAGGTCAGCCTGGCATGAATGCATGTCAGGCTGCCTGCCAATCATGCAGGCTGTCCAACTAAGGTCATACTATGCAGGCAGCACCCTGAGCTTGACATAAATGCATCAAATGATGCACCTACTCCACTCTTTCTAAGGACTGTCCCCTAGCACTCACATGTCCACTTGTCTCCTTACCATCTTACAAGCAGGCAGACGCTCCTGGTACATAGTCTGGGACAGAGAAAAGGTGTATGTAGTGAGTGTAAAAGGAGACATGCCACAGTATTAGAGAGACCAAAGTCTGCATTACCGTAACTAATTTTATTGTCAGCCAGTCCACACAAGTTTTGTTCCCATACATCCCTCTTAAGCTTCCATACTTAAAGGGACACTATAGTCACCAGAACAACTACAGCTTATTGTATTTGTTCTGGTGCGTGGAATCATTACCTTCAGGCTTCAGGCTTTTTGCAGTAAACCCTGTCTTTTGAGAGAAAATAACTCCATTTGCCACTCCTTAGATGGCTGCTAGAGGTGCTTCCTGTGGCAGTACTGCCTAGTGTGCTGCACTGCCATTCAGTGTCTCCACCCTCTGCATGCAGACACTGAACTTTCCTCATAGATATACATTGAATCAACTCATCTATGAGGAGATGCTGATTGGCCAGGGCTATGTTTGACTTGTGCTGGCTCTGCCCCTGATCTTCCTCCTTGACAGTCTAAACCAATCCTATGAGGAAGCATTGTAATTGGCTCAGACCACCATTTCTGTTTATGTCAGCAGGCAGAGTCAGTTCAAAGGCAGACAGAGGCAGAGCCAGCAGCTGCAGACTTGAATACAAGTAATATGTTACTATATTTATGGAGGCAAGAGGTGGCCAGGGGGGGCTAGATGGTGGTTTTAACATAATAGGGTCAGAAATACAAGATTGGGGTCCTGACCCTATAGTGTTCCTTTAAGCAAGAGTATGTGAAGAGTAGTTAGGGTTGCCGCCTTTCTTGGAAAAAAATACTGGCCTTAATCATTTGTATAATTAATTATGTATGCGTGACATCACATGATGTAAATCAGATGGAGTTACATAAGAGGAAATTCTGTAAAATCACCAACAAACTGCTCACAGTTTGATTCTGCTGTTTAGATGGATTGCTCCCAGTGTATCCCTGACTCCCAGTGTCTCAGTCTCCCAAGTCACCCAGTGTCTCAGTTTCCCTATTTATCACAGTGTCAGTGTCCCCATGTCGCCCAGTCCCTAGTCTCCCAGTGTCTCAGTGTCCCCATTGTTTCCATTGTCCCATTGTCTCAGTGTGTCCCCATGTCACTAGGATACTAGGGGACACTAGGAGACATGGGGACACAGTGAGACATGGGGACACTGAGAGACATGGGGACACTGAGAGACATGGGGACACTGAGACACTGGGAGACTAGGGGACACTGAGACACTGGGAGACATGGGGACACTGTGTCTCTAGTGTCTCCATGTCCCAATGTCTCAGTGTCTCCCAATGTCCCTATGTCTCACAGCGCCCCCATCTGTCTCAGCGTCCCCATGTCACACAGTGTCCCATAGTGTCTCAGGTCCCAATGTTTCTCAGTGTCTCCATTTGTCTCAGTGTCCCCAGGTCTCCCTGCTGCCTTTCCCCCATACCTCACTTACCTGAGCTGTAGTCTGTCTCTGCAGGCTGGGAGCTGCTGTCTGAACTCTCTGTGCTGTGTAGCTGCTCCCCCGCAGATCAGTGAGTAAAGAGAAGCAGGGATATGCTGTTACTTCCTATCCCTGCCTCTCTCCACACAGTGACCCCTACTTGCCGGTGCTGGTATTACAGAGTAATCTCCATTTATACGGAGAAAATATCTGCATTTGTACTGCCGGTATTACTGCAATACCGGCACGGCCAGGCAGCCTCACATACCAGTCAGGAGGCAAACCTAAAAGTAGTGTGTAAAAAAAAAAAAATGTAAAAAAAATATTTTTTGTTTTGTTTTTTAGTGGGTTAATCCATGGACATGGGCCTGGAGCTGCAGGTCCATCAGCCCCTATGTTAATCCGGCCCTGAATCTCACAGAAACCTCCACTGCCTTGATCTCCAGCATTTCTCCACCAAACTCCAAACTCCCCTTTTACCCATCTCAAATCTCCACTCTTGCCTCTCAACTAGACACCATGGCACCTTCTACATTGAAGTGCAGCAAGCGTTCCCAATTACAACCCTGGCACACCAACTGACCCGATATCTCTAAAAATGTTCAAGAACTGCTGAATGCTGTATGAGAAAGTCTCACTCTGCACCTGACTTCCTCCACTATAAATTTATGCTGCGCTCCTACACTCTGGATCTTTCCTCTGCAAAAGTAAATTACTTCAATACCCTCATAACCACATAACTATTTCACACTTTTAATGCTCTCCTTCGCCCTGTTGCTCCCCCTCCTCCTACCATCCTGTCCACCTCAAACTTTGCAACTCACTTTACTGAGAAGATTTCTACAATCCGGGAAGAGATCTCTAACCTCTCTCACTCCCCTTCCAATACATCAGCCATCCCCACTCCCTCTGCTGTACTATGCTCATTCACACCTACTACTCTGCTCTGCTCCGGTCCGCCCGCCCCACCACCTGTTCCCTTGATCCTATTCCCTCATATCTCATCCGCACTCTGTCTCCCTCTCTTGCTCTTCCTCTCACTAACATTTTCAATCTCTCCCTTTCCTCCGGCACATTTCCTTCACCCTTCAAGCATGCAACCATAACACTGATTCTGAAAAAGCCCAACCTTGATCCCAATTCCCCATCCAACTACTGTCCTATATCGCCACTGCCATTTGCCTCCAAGATCCTTTCAGTGTTTCTTTCTCTGGCTCTGCCTCTTCTCCCCAACCCCTTTCTGCTGGCGTTCCCCAAGGTTCTGTCCTTGGTCCACTACTATTCTCTAACTATACTGCCTCCCTTGGTAAACTCATCAGCTCCTTTGGCTTCCATTGTCATTTATATGCAGATGACACACAAATCTACCTGTCCTCTCCTGATCTCTCTCTGCCCATCTTGACTCGTGTCTCTGACTGCCTCTCTGCGGTTTTCAACTGGATGGCTGCTCACTTCCTTAAACTCAACTTGTCCAAAACAGAACTTCTGGTCTTTCCTCCCTCAAGTGTTGCTACTCCCATGTCTGTCTCCCTCCAAGTCAACGGTGCCACCATCATCTCTACCTCACAGGCTTGCTGCCTAGGTGTTTTCTTTGACTCCGACCTCTCCTTCACCCAAATGTCCTCAAGCCCTCTATTCCTGTGCATCCATTTGTCTGGTTACATTTACATGTCTGTTAGACCACCCATTGTACAGCGCTACGGAATTTATTGGCACTATATAAATAATAACATAATAATAATAATAATAATAAAAAAAAGACAACATATTCTACAGTGCATTACAATAGGAGGTAAAATATTACATGATATAAGAAATATAAATATAAAGTTTACAATTACATGCAAGTAAAATCACTGTTCTACTACAACTGGTCAATTGAATTTAATGCTATTAAGATGTCCCTGGTCTAACCCATAAATATTTTCAACTAGCTACTATGTTGTGTACACACACAGGAGTTCATTCTCCGTCTCCAACGTGCAGGTTTAAATGAACGTTCCAAACACAAAGAATACTTCAGCTTGCTGATGGTTTTTTAAAGGTTCACAAAGTGTCCACCCTTTCTCACTTTATAAAAGTGCCAACTTCTAGAGAGATCAATTTCAAGATTTTGTGCTCTAGTACAAAGTGGAAGCATTGGCTGGTGCATGGCAGTGATTTACACCCATGTGCCAATACTTTTATATGAAAACCATTGGCTTGGCTGTGAGATCATCCTTAGTGAGCTTAGCTGCGTTGAGGAATCCTCTCATCAATGGATTATTGGTAAGTGAACTATTTTAGGGGCGGGGGTGTAGGAGTTTTTAAATCATTCCAACATTATAAATAAAATTAAAATTTATTTTACTATTATTTATAATGCTGGTGTTTGCTTTTAACCCCTTAAGGACTGAGCCAATTGTACAAGTTGGGATCAAAATAAAATGTAAACAAAAACTGGAATTTTCGCTATATGTCTGTTTAACCGTAATTCACCTCTTTCATATTAAGCGCACCCACACCTATTAAATATAATTTTGTTCAGGAGAAATAGAGCTTTAATTTCACATGAACTATTTATATTAGAAACATAATTTATTATGAATAAAATAAAAAAAGTGTGTGAAATTAAGATTTTATACACATTGAAATTTGCAGACTGGTTATGTTGCCAAAATTAGCATTTATATTTGTTTGTGTGTAAAAAATGCAAAAAAAACCAAATATGAACGTTGACTTTGGTCAGTGTTTGTAACCAAGTTTCTACTTAAAAACACTAGACATAACACATTTATAATACCTTGCGTTGTCTACTTTTGCAAATGGTATGCCATCAAGGGGGTAATTCTCATTCCTGGGCTACCATTGGGTCACAAATTCAACATACCAATCTGGGAAATTTCAATAAAAAAAATAATTAAATGGGCAAGTCTTATATTTGACCCTGTAACTTTCAAAAACACTGTAAAACCTGTACATGGAGGGTGCTGTTATAATCGTGAGACTTCTCTGAATACAAATATTAGTGTTTTAAAACAATAAAATGTATCACAAGAATTATATCATCAATGAAAATGTTGTTTGTGTGTGAAAACTGCAAAAAACATCTCTTTCACAGACAATATCATCATTGTAATACATTTTACTGTTTTGAAACACTAATATTTCTGTTCAGGGAAGTCTCCCGAGTACCCCCCATGTACAGATTTTATGGTGTCTTGGAAAGTTACACGGTTAAATATAGTGCCAGCAAATTAAATTCCCTGGACCTTCTGCCTGACTTGTCAGGCAGGTTCCTCAAACTGCAATCAATAAATTTACTAAATTACGTAAAAGTACTACATAAATATGTACGTAGAATTTAAATATATATATACATCTTTATATATTTGAAGTCTACATGTATATTTATGAAATTAATTATGTAGATGGATATATTTATATTTTTTATAATTTTCATTTATTTATATATAAATATATATATAATTTCATTGTAAGTGTATTTTAATATGAATAAATATATATTAATAACAAAATACAGTTAGAATGAATAATTTTCTTTAACTATTTTTATTTACTTGTTATAATCATATATATATACATATACAAAATATGGTAAGATAGCACTCCCAGGACTTAAATCACAGTGAGTGCAGGACCCCTTGGATTTTTATTTAAATATATATATATTTCAATAAAAAAATCCAAGGGATCCTGCACTCACTGTGATTTAAATAGTCTTGCCCGGTACTTATAAATTTATTTTTATTTTTGTAAAGTCCTGGGAGTGCTACACTTAGTATGACATTAAACATATAAGATATATCAAGACAAGTGCTCTCTGGGGTCTGAGGGTCTGAAAATATTAAAGTTGATGCATTTTATTCAGGAAATTGAATATCGACATTTCAGTCACCACGGATTTTCAGATAATTATATACATATATATTTATTTTATATTTGCTTAACTAATGATAGGCACTATGGAAGCCTACTGTGGCCATACGACCGCTCTGTCAGACTGTCTGGGCTCTGAGGCTTTCCTCCCAGACGGGAACAACACTCGCCATGCCAGCAATCAGGTAAGTGCATAGGACAGCGCGGACGTTTTATGCCGCCCGCTGCATTTAGGCTTAGTTTCTTAAGGATGGCATAGAATGCCCGCCGTCGTTTAGGGGTTAATGTTATCCTCATGTAAACATTCTATCCTTAATTATTTTGATATGTACACCTGTGCTGTTGAAGGAGCCATCTGTGCTTCAAATGCAGCATCAGAGGATCTAAATACAAATTTCTTTTAAAAAAAATAAATCACTCAAACAGTGATAAAGAACATGTGTTTCTGGCGATCACCAGCTGTCACTGTAAGGTATTTTCAGAATGAGAATAAACAAATGTTCTCCTCCTCTGTCTGCTTATACTGGAGGAAGTCTCTACTTCTGGGCAAAATTTCTTGGAATCTAGGAGCCAGCTAAAAAGTTTAGGAGCCAGGTTTTTTTTTAAAGTAACTGTTTCTTTTTCAATGAAAAAATATAATTCTTAAAGGGACACTATATTCACCAGACCCACTACTGCTTCATGTAGTGGTTCTGGTGCCTACTGCTGGTCCCTACAAACTTTTCAATGTAAATAATGCCTTTTCAGAGAAGGTGGGGGCATGGCAACCTAAACAGACACACTTACTGACAGACACACACACTCACGATTTGCCATTAAGAGAAGTAGTTAAAGTTTCAGGTCATACAATTCTTTCACTTTAGCTATCCACTGAAGAGTTGTAGGGACATCCATTGTGCGCCATTTGACAGGAATCAATGCTTTAGCAGCGTTTAGCAGGTGTTGTGTCAGAGATTTCTTATACTTTGACAAGGGTAGTTTCATCTGATGTAGAAGCATTGGAAGGGGTTGTTTAGGCAGATCGGTGTCCAAGATTTCCAATATTAGACCACGAATATGGAGAAATCTTAGAACAGGACCACCAGATGTGAATGTCCATACCCGCCTCACATTCATATCTCCATTAGGTCTCTCAAGCTGTTGGGTGCACTCAATGGAGCCTGTCTGGGGTTCTATACCAGCCTGCGATGAACTTGTAGTTAAGATCTTGTACATTAGTACTCACTCTAGTGTTCTGATGCACTAGAATATGAAATTTCTTCCATTTGCTATCAAAATTGGGCAGACTAGATGGGCCGAATGGTTCTTATCTGCTGTCACATTCTATGTTTCTATGTAGAAAGGATGATGCCAGTGTTCCATTTTCAAGCCACGATGTTCAGAGCAGTGACTCTGGGTGTTGCCATGAGCATGTTATATAGTATCAAACTACCACAATGTAAGTGCTGCCAAACAACACAGAGTTCCTCAAATGGGTTAAGCTTCCTATGTGTAAGATGCTTGCCCACAATGGAAGCATAAAAGATTTGAATTTAATGATACCTGAAACTATACACAATCAGAACTTCCAAGGTCCTCAAGATCCCTGGATGAGATTTCACCTGCCACATATGGGTTGTGGTTTATAGGGTTCAGGGGGACACTGTCATTGTAAGTTGAGAAGATGTCCAGAGTGAGCACAACACTTTCAGACTATCTCTAATTAATGGATACTCACGTACTTGTCTCTCTTTGAGTGGTTCTGCTTACCATGCTTGGGAAGGGAGATGAAACTGAACCTGAACCTGCACCTGTTCAAGTTTATCCATAGTTTCTGCATGTGGAGCGCATGTCAAGTAAGTAGCCTAAGGAGGTGGATTGTGCGGTAAGATGGGAGACCAACTCCACCCAACATCTTCAGTATGGTTAATTCTAGCTGTTTAACTCTAAGTGGGCCAGTTTTCTATACAAATCATATCAGAGCAGCTTCAAAGGATATTGTTTGGAACAAATAAAGCATCCTGAAAAGGAGATTCATCTTGGTAAGTCTACCAAAACATGACACTCACAAGCTATGCCATCTCATCATGTCTGACATCAGTGTTCTAAGGATAGGTTAGAGGTTCTCCTGATATAGTTGACCTAATCCCTAGTAATCCAAATTTCAAGATATTTGAGACAACTCTCACATCATTTAAAAGAAAAATGAGTGCATAAACGACCAATTTCAGCCTGAGCATGAGTAACTGGGAGCAACTCTGATTTTTCAGTATTAAGTTTAAAATTAGAAAGTCTCCCATATGTCGAAAAAGCTGATAATAAGTTGGGCAAGGAGATCAAGGGATTCTCAAAAAAATACACCAGATTATCGATGTTATGGCAAAAACCTCCACACCTGAACCCCGTAAAACCTTGTCCTGTCTGACCACCTCCATAAAGGGTTCCAGAGAGAAGGCAAACTGGAGAGGGAAAAGGGGGCACCCCTGTCATGTGCCATTTGTGATATGAAACAACGGTGAGAGTGCACCATTGATCTGCAGATCGGCACTTGGAACAGTATACAGTGAGGACACCCAGTAGAGCATATGTGGGCCAAAGCCCATCTTCTGTAATGCAGCTAGCATGAACTGCTAGTCTACCCGGTCAAACGCCTTCTCGGCATCAGTAGAGAGGAGAAGGACCTTCTGACTTGAACTACAAGCTGCGTGTATGATGTTCAGAACTCCAATTGTGTTATCATTCACCTTCCTACTCAGCACAAATGCTACCTGATCTGGGTGGACCAGCTCCGGCAGCACCTCACCCACCTTCAGCACCAACACTTTAGTAAATAACTTCAGGTTAGCTTTGAAGAGTGAGATCAGCCTATAGTAGGGTCTTTATCCCCATTAGAGATTACTGCAATTGTGGCCATGAGAGTGTCTCCTGGAAACTTTCCACCATCTATGATAGAATTGAGCCCCAACAGTAATTTAGGCAGGGCGATATCTTCAAAGGTTTTAAGATATTTCACAAAGGGCCTTATTTACTATTGAGTACTACAGCAATTCTTTAATTAAAAACAGAGCATCCAATTCCTCCAGCGACTCAGGTCGCTGTTTTTGTTTTTGTTCAAGTATCGCAACTCTTTTGACGCTGTTAATTTTTAAGATGCGTACAGAGTGTTATGAAGTTTCCTCTGATCATGCACTTGTGGACTTCCCAATTTATCAGAGAAAACGTCTTGTGTGTTGTTCTCCTCAAAATATTTCCGCACGACTGTTCATGCTTCTTCCAAAACCTGAAGTTCAAGATGTGTTTGTTTAACTTCCATTGCCTGTCATCGGGGTTATATAATGGGGACTCTAGGCACACCAAAATGGGAGAGTGATCTGACAATGTGGTCAGAAGTATGTCACTCTACGTTCATTTATATCTTAATATTTTAAATTGAATATATAATTTACCTCTATGATAAATTATGTATGCATGGAGACGGGATTATGTTAAAGTGAACCTGCCATGGTAGGTTCATTTTAAAATCACTGTTAAAATTACCTGTATCTCAATACTGAGACAGTCTCCAAACTGGAACCTAATCCACATTCAGTGAAGTAACTGAGACAGGTGATTTTATAAAAAACTTTGAGAACTACTTTAATATATTTTTATTCATTTTTGCAAAATTTAAAAAAAAATTGCATTACTTGGTTAATCTGAGATGACAAATACATAGTGCGTGGAGTACAATCATCAAGCAGTCATGACAATGTGGAGTAGTTTAGTAACAGCTAAACTCAAGTACAAAGTACAAGAACAAAAGAAAACAAGAGCGTATCTATAATTTTAGTACATTATAATACACAATTAAAGTATGAGGGAAAAGAGTATATTTAGTACATATGTCAGATAAAGAAGTAATGGTACCGTCATGTTAAGTCATCCCCCCACCTGCAGTCCCCACATTAAATTTATGAGGATCCTTGTTTAGGAATTGCTATCACAGTGCCCAGATGCTCCTATTTTGATCACATCAGTGACCCCGGGAGTATTTTATTTCCTCCATGGTTCTGAATTTTATATTTTATCAATCAATTCTGTAATTAAGCAGGTGGGAAGGAGGGAGTGCTTATATTTTCCTATAGACAATTGCTTGGAATGAAATAAAAAAAGACTACAAGGCCATAGTACTCCTGGCTAAATAACCACTGGAGTAGACAGTATTGGTTATTGTGCTTGTAGTTATTATTTTTAAAAAACTATCTAAACCCCTAAACTTTGGCTTTTTGACTTGCTTTAAGAGTAACATAAGCAGCCCTAGCCACACCTCCTTTTGCTGTGACTCACACAGCCTGCATGAAAAACAAATGAGGATTCCATGTTAACTTACTTTGGAAATTTTTATCTCATAAACTAGTTCTATAAATAGAACTTTAATCACACACAGGAGGCTCCAGAAATGTCTAGCAAGTTATAAACAGTGCAGAGAATAGGAAATTCTAAATTAAAGAGACTGTGCAATAAAGGAATTATAAGCATTAGTTCTCACTTTACAGGAAGTGTTTAGGAAGGCTGTGCACATTACTTGCAGGGAGGTGTGATAAGAGCTGCAAACAAGGTGATTTAACTCATAAATCACAGAGAATTAAGCAGTGATACTGCAGGGGAATGATCAATACACCAAAACTGCTATAGAGTCACTTTAACCATGAAGGCTATATATTTTTACAACCGTAAACCACTGTGAACAAATAAATTACATGGACATTATGCTTAGTTCAGAGAAAGAGATGAAAAAAGCTTCCAGCATTTCAGAAGTAATATGATGTTGTTAAAATATATATAAATGAAAACACAATGCTTTGGAACTAAATCT